ATAAATGAACAATTAGTAACTGTTGTGTAGCATAAATAATCACGTTACAACATTTTTAGTAGAAATATTCATCAAGCTACTACAATATAATATGGATAAGCACCAGAAATTTCAGTGCAGCATAAATCATCAAGTAATACCTGTCTATCATATCTAATCATCATGTAAACCTTCTGTATATGTAAATGAGCATTTAGTAAGTCTTGTAAGCATAAATAAGCATCCATTAAAATTAATAGAAACTGAAAATGGTGTTTAAAGGTGTTCGTCGAAAAGATCGAACCATCTAGGGCGAAATTTAGCAATCAGATATTTCCGCTTTAAAAATATTTTCTTTGTACTGTACATCAATAAGAAAAACAGTTGTTTTGAATTTTAAAATGGCTGAGTGATAATTTTTCAAAGTACGAATAATTTTTGGGTAGTGGTTTCTTCAAAAAAAAATTAATAAAAAAAAATACATTTTTCAACATGATGTCGCAAGAAGTTATTACAAGATATTTTTATGAAACGTACACAAGGCGTTACTTTACAGAAAGAAACATTTAAAAAAATGTTAGAGATAAATAATTGGTAAAATGTTACGAAATTTTTGAAATATCCTATTAGTACATTCTTTTAATCGTATATTCTCATATATTTTGTTCATTTCATAAGTGAATGTTGTATATATCATTTCTGTTCATTTCATAAGTGAATGTTGTATATATCATTTCTGTTCATTTCATAAGTGAATGTTGTATATATCATTCATAAAGGACTCAAAGCTTAGTGGCAAACGTGCGCAGGGTGAGCATTAGGATGGGGTTCAATCCGTTGGCGGCTTAGTTGTAGACACTGTTTCAAAAATAAAGGAGACCCCATGGTTTTTGTGATGTTCAAAATCTTCCCTCGTGGGCCTGAATGGCCGAGTGGCTAGCGCTCTGGCGCTCGGTACCACAGGTTTCGGGTTCGAATCGGCGGAGGCATGGGTGTGTGTAGTTGTTCGGAATCCACTTTAAACCGTAGGCCACGGTCCTAATAGGATCGTAGAGCGTTGCGGGGGCATTGTTACTCCACGTCCGTGGCTTATCTTCAAGTTACACGCGCCCCTAGGTAATGCAAAGTGAGTAATGTCTGTGCAGTGCTTGCCTTAAGGCATCCAAGACCAAGTTGTCTAAGTGTTTACCTGCTGCATTAAAAAAAAAATCTTCCCTCGTCCGTCAGACTACTTAGTGGGAGGTAACAGAGATTTTCTCCTGTACGATACGCAAATGCGAGATATCCCCACCCCCTAAAGGTCTTTCCTGGATGGCACTGCCCCTCCCTCATTTAGCTACTCGGAGCCAAGACTAACTTCTACTTAGGGGTGCTCCATCAAACAGAAGCTGCACCTTCACTTTTCCTCCTTCCATGAGACCACACCGGTTCTTGGACTCCTCAGTCCAGATGTTGCTGTCTACCAAGTGGGATAAGAAAGGAAATTATAATGATGCAGTATACTTTTATGTACAGGATTAACGGTTTTTCTAACACTTTACTAAAATTTTCCTGAAAATAAGCAATATCCTTTAAAGTATGATACCAACGATGCTGAGATGCAGACCTTTATTTAGTTAGATTGCGCTAACATTGAAAAACTGAAGGCAGGTTTCAAATAAAAGATTCGAAATTTTGAAATGTTTTCACATTTGCATTATTTTGTAAACTCACCTACTTCGGAAAATAGACAAAATGGATTCCAAATTTCTGAAATAGTAGTTGTCTAAATAGCTTCTGGGAAATTAGATTTATTCAAGATAAAAGAAGATCAGATATTGTAAATGCAGTGAAAATCTATTTCCAGGATTGAATTCTAAAAATTCGAGCTAGAATAGAAATATCCACACTTTACAGAAAGCAGTTGCAGCTTATTCTTACTTTCTGTTACAATATGTTGCTGTGAATCTTTGTAGTTCACAATAAAGTCTGTGAAGTCAAAATATCATTCACAGCTGAGCAATCAGCATCACATAATTTCTTTTTCAAATTTAAAAAATTACCAAAATTCTTTTTTATTATTCCATTTTTTTATTATAAAAATTTTTATTCCCTTTTCCTCAGTTAAATTTTCAATGAATATATACTTAAATAGCGCCATAGACTCTTGCAAATATGCCATCCTGTTAATTAAATTAAACGAAATTTATTTTTTTACTTGTTTTATTATGGTGCAATTTTTTTATAACATATAACAAACAATACGTAAACCTGGTGTATTGAGCAACAACACTCATTTCCTCGGGCAAAATTTATTTATTTATCTAAAAACAGTAAAACATTTTAAAACGTTACTCTAAAAATAGGTCACTCATAATATAAGTGAATACCTTAAATTTGCAATAAGTAATGCAATTTTATTTATGTTAAAAAAGCTTCCATGAAATTAATTTCAATCATACATTAATATTTGTTGTTTCTTATCCCACTTGGCAGACAACAACATCTATACCAAGTCCATGAACACGTGTCTTCTAAGGGAAGGAGGCAGCTTCTATTGTGATGGAGCACCCGTAGGTAGAAGTCTGACTTGACTACGAAAGAGTCACTAAGGAAGGAGGGCAGTGAATTTCAGGAAGGGGTTTAGGAGAATTACCGCGCATTTGCATATTGTGTAAGAGAAAACCCGGAAAACTCCTACCAGGTAGTTCAACTCACTAGGCAAGACGCTGAACATCACAAACGCCATCGAGTCCCATCCCCGTTTTTAAACAGTCTCTACAGCATTTTGCCTCGTAGATTGAGCGGATTGAACCTCAGCCCTAATGCTCACCAGCGGCACACATTACCACTGAGCCACGAGTCAGGGTATCCTCATTTCTGAAAGAAGTGTCTAGGAATACACGAAGTCAACTTATTAGAACTTAATTTTCATTCCCCACTTGTTCTTCATTGGTGCAACAACCTCATGGCGGTGGCCGAGGACGTCTACCTACTAGCAGATTTCCGAGGCAGGGAGATATTTCCTTTTTACGGGGTAGGGCTTTCAAACTTATGCCCAACGTTCTACAGTAGTATTAGATCGGGACCGGGCACAATATCTGGCATTCCCTATAAAATTTTAAATTCAATGAAAATTATTACGGAAATGATAAAAATTATTAAACTAAATATTTTATATAAAAATTTAAATTAATAAAATTATTATTTTTTTAGGATGATAAGATGCGAATCTGAAATGAAACTTGTACAATATTATGTTTATCACAAAGACATCACTATATGAAAATGACAAAAAGTTCTTTAGTATTATTCTCTGGCAATTCCATTTCAAAAGAATATTTTTAATTAATGGTATGCTTAAATATTTAACACTTGAAGTTTTCTTTACGTCAATGGTTATGCACAGTAAATATTACTTAATGAATTTTTGGAACATCTGCAGCAACTGTGTAAACATAATGATTGTGCAAACTGCTTAAGATAAACATTTAACGCAATAAAATGTTTCGTAAAAATAAATTTAATCTCCATAATAAAAGTTTACTTAACAATATTAGCATAGTTCTTAAATGGATACATTCACTAAATATAATAAATTGAAAGTGCTTAGTTTATTTCACATTTAATTATTCCTCTCTGTTTAAATAAAATAGCTTTTTCAAAGAAATCATTTATTACATTACATTAATTATTATAAATAAATTTTGATATAGCAACATCATATATATTAAAAAGTCAAATTATATATAACATTCTAATCTTAAACATTATTTTCTTCATTTTCTTTAAACATTATTTATATATGCCAAGGTTGGGCAGAGGTTAAGTCAATTGGAGCCCCATAAAGGTTCCACTTTTACAATGAGGAGAGGATAGTGATATTTTTAATAAAAAACTAGATACAGTAAATAGCATTTTACTTAATTCAATTAAAAATCAAATGAACAATAGGAATTAAAAATATTGGGCAGAAAATTTATAGAATAAATTAATGAAACAGAAAATATTTATTATTTTTAAGTTCAGCCGATTCCCATTGATAATTATTTTAATCTTGGTGCTTAATTCATCAAGGTTCTTCTCGCAGCAATTATTTAAGATGTTTTTGTTGTGTCTAATCCTCAGTGTTCTGCAGTGTATGATCACCCCTTGAGTAGTTTACTCTTGGATGGATGGAAAGGGCAGCTTCTGTGGGGCTAGAGCACCCATAGGTAGAAGTCTCGACTCGGCTCAAGTCGCTGAAGAAGGAGGTCTGTGCCTTCGGAGAGGACTTTTAGGGATAACTACCACGTATTTGTGCGTAATACGGGAGAAAACCTGGTAATCTTCCACCAGATAATCCGCCTAATGAGGCAAGATGCTGAACATCACAAACGCCATCAAGGCTAATCGTCTTTTTGAAACGGTGTCTGCAAAAAATCCGCCAGCTGCTTGAACTCAGCCATAATGCTCAGCGGCGCACGTTTCCGAGTCGCGCATTTAAGATGCTGATTGGTTAAATGTGAGCTACATAGAGATTTGACAAACTGCATAGTTAAAAATAAATATCAACAGAAACAAGCTGTACTAAAACTTGTAAATAATCATTAAGCAACAGCTTTGTTTCTGGCATCAATTTCCAAAACTCAGTCAAAAGAACAGATTGTTGCTGCTTTTGTAATGTAATGCCCTTAAACTCTCGCAAATTTAGATTTGATTCTGATTCTACAAATTTTTCAAATCCAGTTTAAAGACACGCTCTCATCTCGTCAATATTATCTTGAAACTCCTTGATTTTATCGATCTCGTGGCCTAGCGTTCTGGCCTTTGTACTACAGGCTGCAGGTTCCAAACCTGGCTGTGACATGGATGCTTATGAGTGGTTCGAATCCTAGTTAAACATCAGGTCCCGTTCTTATTACACTAAAATGTAAAAAACCTTTGTAGGGCGGCAACCCAAATCTTGCATAATAACATAATTCGCTTTTAACGAAAAACAAATCGAAATGTGTTTGACTTCAAATCATCTTTGTTGCAAATTTAACATAAAAATACATGCCAACGGCCATGCCATGCTGAATATACCGGTTCTCATTAGATCACCGAAGTCAAGCATCATTAGGGAGCGGTCAGTCTTGGGTGGGTGACTACACCGCGTGCCGTTGGCATTCACAAATTTTTGGACCTGAATGGCCGAATGTCTAGCGCTCGGTGCCACAGGTTTCGGGTTTCCGGCGGTGCATGGATGTTTGTAGTGGTTCGGAATCCACTTTAAGTCGTAGGTCCCGGTCTCCTATGACTGTAAGAGCGTCACGGAGCCAAAGTCAGACTTCTACCCACGGGTGCTCCATCACAACAGAAGCTGCTTCCTTCCTTCAATCATGAGTACGTATGGGCTCGTGGGCTTGGCCAGCCATGTGGGATACGAAACAACAACAACATAAAAATACATTATTCTTCCAGAGCCACATTGAAACACGTTTATATAGCGTTGGCATATATTTTTAACTGTTTAAAAAAATTCCGGTACGAAAATTATATTCCTTATTTGATAGTTTTCAAAGGATTTATTACTTAAATATCTTACTTAATGAATATCTTTTTGTTATTCAAATATCATCAAATATTTCAATGCCTTTAAATTCTAAAAAGAATGCTTACATCTTAACGTGGAAATCTTTTACAAACGACAAAAATGCATCACAAATGACCGAGTCGTAATTATTTTCTACGAATTTCACCATTGGAAAAGAAAAAAAAAAAAAACAGTATCGAGAATAGAAGATTAAAAAAACATATATTATCATTCCCTTCTAGAAATTGTGAAAATATTTTTCTCTAAAACATCTTTCTTTGGAAAAATATTTAATGATCAACAATAAACAGCTTTTGAAGAGAAGAACTGTTTCTTTCAGTTCCTAATTATAAGTCGACTGGTAAAAAAATGTCTGAAGTACTTTTATTATTTCCATTTTATAAAGGAAAAAAAGGACAGCTAAATTTTATTTTATTTTATTTTGTTTTTTTTTTCGAAAAAAGTAACTGTCTTTCAGTAAAAGAATATTTGTTAAAGAATGACGAATATTACTAAAAAGGGGAAAATGGAGAGTTTGTCAGCAGTGTTTTCGATTACAAAGCGTTCCTGTTGTTCTAGAAGAACAGGTGTGAGTGTGTTTGTTTAGATCCTCCCAACCAATCTTTGTGTGGAGTTCTCAAATACCTAATTACTTCATTTTTTATTCTGTAAACAAACCAAATAACCATATTTTAATGAGTTTTGTGAATGATAGTACCTTAATAAAAATATTTTTTTATTTAAAAGTATAACTTAATATCGGGTGATTAGAATATGTTAAAAAAAAATATCTATATATTATTTCACATATATTGCAGTTTCGATATTTTATGCATATTTATATGGAAAAGTCACAAAAAGATTTAGGAGGTCGACATGATATCCACATACCAATATATCGCGCTTTTCATTGGTTTCTCCAGACTTCAGGTTCGAATCCTGGTGGTATCAAGGATGTTTGTTAGTTGTTTGGAATGCAAGTTAGACGGGAGCCTGCTGTTTAAAAGCCTAAAAGTGTGCAAAACCAAGCCTAAAGTGTGCCATTTCTAGCCTAAAGTGTGCAAAAACAATGATTGTGGAGCGCAACCAAATCTCACACGATAATAAAGGAACCTGCTTTTTAAATGAAAAACATATCGAAATTTCTTTTGACTTCAAATCTTCCATAAAGGCAAATTTAATATAAAAATACACTGTTCTTTGAAGCTACATTGAAACACATTCACATACAGTTGGCATGTCACCTAATTGTTTAAGAAATTTCTTGTATGAATAAATTTCTTGTATGAAAATTTCTTGTATGAAATTTTGTATTGTTTATGAATTTCTTGTATTTACAAGTATTAAATTGCTGAAAACCTTGAATAAAAGAATATAATTATTCTTTATTCGCTAGTTTTCAAGCAATTTAATACTTATATATCTTACTTAACGAATACCTTTTTTGTTATTCAGATATCATTAAATATTTCAATACCTTCGAATTTCTAAAATTAGAATGCTACCTCTTAACGTGGAAATCTTTCACAAACGACAAAAATGCATTGCAAATCACGGAGTCCTAATTATTTTCTACGAATTTCACCCTTTAGAAATGAAAAAAAAGTATCGAGAATAAAATATTAAAAAAGAAAAAACGTATATTATAATTCTTTTCTAGAAATTGTGAAAATATTTTTCCTTAAAATACTTTCTTGGAAAAAAAAATTTAATGATCAACAGCAAACAACTGTGAAGAGAAGAACTGTTTCTTTCAGTTCCTAATTATAAGTCGACTGGTAAGAAAAATGTCGGAAGTTCTTTTATTATTTCCATTTCAGAAAGAAAGAAAAAAAATAAAGAAAGAAAAAAAAGGGACCTAAATTTTATTTTATTTTGTTTTGTTTTCGCGAAAAGAAACTGTCTTTCAGTAAAAGAATTTTTGTTGAATAATGACGAACATTAAAGAGGGGAAAAAAAATGGAGCGTTTGTCAGCAGTGTTTTCGATTACAAGGAGTTCTCTTGTTCTAGAAGAACAGGTGTGAGTGTTGTTTTAGATCCACCCAAACAATGTTAGTTCGGTGTTCCTAAATGTCTAACTACATCCATTTATTATTTTATAAAGAAACAAATAATATTCATATTTTAATGAGTTTTGGGAATACTAGTACCTTAATAAAAACATTTTTTAATGTACTATTATTCACAAAAAGTCAAAATGTGAATATTATGAATATTAATTAAAACATTTTTTTATTTAAAAGTATAACTTAATATCTTCAATAACTAAAATATGTTACATAAATGCCCCTATGTTATTTCACATATATTGCAGTTTCGATATTTAATGCATATTCCTAAAGGAAAAAGACACAAAAGATTTAAAAGGTCGCCCATGATATCGGTACTACTATATCGCACTTTGCATTGGTTTCCCCAGACTACAGGTTTGAATCATGGCGGTAGCTGGACCTGGTCTTAAAGCAGGTCCTGGTCTTATTAGACTAAAGTGAGCACAAAATGATTGTAGATCGACTAAGAAATCCTCCAAGATAATAAAGGTACTTGATTTTAAATGAAAAACATATCAAAATATTTTTGCTTTAAATATTTCTTATTGCAAATTTAATAAAAAAAATACGCTGTTCTTTGAAGCTATATTGAAATACATTTACCATTTACCACTTGCCATTGCCATAGGCTTTTAAATTATTTAAACAATTCTTGTATGAAAATTATATTCATTACTCGATTGTTTTCAAGCAATTTATAACTTAAATATCTTACGTAACGAATATATTTTTTTCTTATTCAAATATTTCAATGTCTTTATATTCTAAAATTAGAATCTTTCACAAACGACAAAAATGTATCGCAAATGACTGAGTCCTAATTATTTTCTACTAATTTCACTATTAAGAGATGAAAAAAAGTATCGAGAATAAAAGATTTAAAAAAAAAAAACATATATTATAATTTCTTTCTAGAAGTTGTGAAAATATTTTTCTCTAAAATATCTTTCTTTGGAAAAAAAATTTCATGATCAACAGCAAACAACTTTGAAGAGAACTGTTTCTTTCAGTTCCTAATTATAAGTCGACTGGTAAGAAAAATGTCTGAAGTTCTTTTATTATTTCCATTTTATAAAGGAAAAAAAGGACCGCTAAATTTTATTTTATTTTATTTTGTTTTAGAAAAAAAGTAACTGTCTTTCAGTAAAAAGAATATTTGTTGAAGAATGACGAACATTACTAAAGAGAGGAGAAAAAATGGAACGTTTGTTAGCAGTGCTTTCGATTACAAGGCATTCTCTTGTTCTAGAAGAACAGGTGTGAGTGTTGTTTAAGATCCTCCCAAACAATGTTTTTGTGGTGTTCTTAAATACCTAATTGCATCCATTTATTATTTTATAAAGAAACAAATAATATTCATATTTTATTGAGTTTTGTGAATAAGTACCTTACTAAAAAAACAATTTTTTTTATTTAAAAGGTATAACTTAATATAGGGGGATAACTAATGTTATATATATGTCCCTATGTTATTTCACGTATATTTTCAGGTTCGATATTTTATGCATATTTTTATGGCAAATGTCAGAAAAGATTTAGAAAGTCGCCCATGATAACGAGATACCAATATAAAAGCGCTTTCCACTGATTTCCCCAGACTTCAGGTTGGAATCCTGGCTGTGGAATGGATGTTTAGTGTTTCGGAATGTAAAGTTAAACAGCTGGTCCCTGTCTTACTAGCCTAAAGTGTGCAAAACAAAGATTGTAGAGCGCAATTAATTCTTACACGATAATAAAAGGAACTTACTTTTGAATAAAAAAAAACATATCAAAATTTTTCGTCTTCAAATCTACGATATGGTAAATTTAATATAACAAGTAATATAAAAGAAAAAAAGTTTAAAGTCAATTCTTACTTACGTCAACAAAGAAAGATTTTATTTTAGTTACTTTTTGTTAAATAATTACAATTAATATAAATATGTACATACATAAGACAGAATCACACTATTATTAATTAAATTTAATTAATGAATTAATATTGGAAAAAATGTCAACATCAAGTGTCACAAGTTCAAAACAATGTATTTGAACTTGAGTGGATGAATAAAAAGTATTTTATGAACGATTGAAAATTTGGACAAGATATATATATATAGGGAGAGTGTGAACTATTAGGAGGAATTGAAAAATACCCCGTTCTTTGAAGCTGCATTGAAAAACATTTACCCACAGTTGTCATAGGCTTTTTAATTCTTTAAAAAATGTCTTGTATGAAAATTATATTCTTTATTCGATAGTTTTCAAGCAATTTATTACCTAAATACCTTGCTTAACGAATATTTTTTTGTTATTCAAATATTTCAATGCCTTTGAATTCTAAAATTAGAATGCTTACATCTTAACGTGGAAATCTTTCACAAACGACAAAAATGCATCAAATGACTGAGTCCTAATTATTCTCTACGAAATTCACTATTGAGAAATGAAAAAAAAAGTATCCCGAATAACAGATTTAAAAAAAAACACATATATTATAATTCCTTTCCAGAAATTGTGAAAATATTTTTCTCTAAAATATCTT